CTCCTGAAACCAGCGTGTATTCATGTACGTGTACGTCCTTCTTTCGCTCCCGAAGGAGGAGGAGGAGGAGGAGAAGGAGGAGGAGGAGGAGGAGGAGGAGGGCCCCCGGTGCGAAGCGGCGGCCCCGGGAGGCCCGTGCCCCGCGCGGCCCACCGGAGAGACCACCAGCACGCACGCGCCGGCGCCGCTCCCCGCGGGTGCCCAGGCCTGCCAGTGTGCCGCCAGACTTCAGTCGGGCGTGTCCCCTTAAAACGACGCGAAGATCGGGACAAAATCGGATCGGGATAACTCGAAATCTCTGAGAATCGGCGGGTTTGTACGATGTATTGGGCGCCGCGGCCGCTCCAGAGCGTTCCGGAACGCTCTGAGAGCGCTCCGGAACGCTCTGGAGCGAGTTATCCCGATCCTAGCCCTGTTTTACCCCCATACAGGGGGATTTTGGACGCCCCGTCGCGTCTGGTCGGCTGGAAAGCACCGCGTATCTCGTTTAAGATACGGCAGAGACGGAGCAAGTATATAATCCAAGTAAGCATGCTTCTCCGATGTCTCGATCACGAAAAAAATAGAAGGGGTCTTGGACGAAAACATCAAAAATACGCACAAAATGCTCCAAAATGGTCAAACAAATGCTCCCAAAATGGTCCCCCGACTATTTTTGGACTGTTCTTGAATAGTCCTCCTGTAAAGGGACCGGCCCGACTTTACGCCAGACTGCTGCCGATGTGCGGTCGGAGCTGCGACGCGTGGGAGCGCCGCGTGTGGTCTCGAGGGCAGTCCCAAACACAAGCCTCAATCAGGCTTGGAGGCTTCATCCTCCCAGGGATCATCGTCACTGTCAGGGCTGCGGCCTCTCACTGTTGAGAGCCGCCCTGCGACGCGTGGGACGAGGGGGGGTCAGATTCAGAAGCGCCCCGGTTCCCCACAAGAGGTCGCCCCCAAGAGAGCGTAAACTTAGAGAGCAACCCTCTCAGACTACCCTTCCCCAGAGCAGTCGATCAGCAAGGGTAGTTTTTTGATTGCACAAATCGACCCTTCCCGAACACCCCCCCCTGGCCTGGGGTGGTGTGGGCCAATGAAAAATTGAGACGGCCACCATTCAACACCATTTTCTTCGGGGGTGGCAGGAACACGCTTTTTCATTATTCGCGGTGACGCCAATGACTGGCCACGCCGACCCCCCCACCCCTCTCCAAATAACTCCTTGGAGAAGTAAGAGGGTTGCATATTAAGAAGCCGGAGCCGCAAGGTAGCCCCGGAACTTGTTCTGGCTTCCGTTTTCCAGCGCCGCTGCGGCCGGTTTGAACCGGAAACGGGTCCCGAGAGACCCTGCCTAAGCGTTTCCCCATACGTGTGCACGCAAGCTCTCCAGAGGGTCTTTCGGAAGCTCTTTCCAGGTCCTTCGGAAGCTCTTTCCCAAAGCTTCCAGGCTCCTTCCGCAAGCCTTCACGCGCCTTTCTGGCGCCCTGCTATCCGGGTTTCGGATTCCACATGCTTTCCGAAAGGAGTTAGCAGTTCCAAGGCACTACCAGACGGCGCTGGCGCGAATCGTGACGTGACCGGCTCCCTCCCCCCTCCCCGCCCGCGCACGCCCCTTATATCGCCAGGGGACAAAAAGACGATACAAAAAGACGGTCTTAAGCGATGGAGGAGGCGACAGGAGGCACGGATGAAGCGGAGAAAATAAAGGCGAGCTGAAGAAAGAGAGAAAGAGAGAGAGAGAGACACATATGTATATATATATATATATATACGTACAGAGAGAGAGAGAAAGAGAGGCAGAAAGAAAGAGAGAGAGAGAGAGAGAAAGAGAGAGAGAGAGAGAGAAAAGAGAGAGACAGAGAGAGCGAGCGAGCGAGCGAGAGAGGGAGAGAGGATATCCACCGACTCCCTCGGGGGTGCATGCGAGGCCGTGGAAGATGCTGCCGGACCGACGTCCTGCTTTCTCAATGCTAAGCCTTCTGTTTCTGCCTTTAGCCTCTCCGTTTCCGTCTTTCTTCTGTTGCCTTTTCGGGGGCTCTCAGATCGGTGCGGTGACAGACCACGCAGTGACCTCGGAATCCTCCATTTTGGACGCCCGAAGTGGGTACAGAAAGAATGGGTACAATGTCCAACATCAAATGTTGTCCCAAACCAACAGCGGCCGCAGTTGGGCAGGCGGCCTTCTGTCTCGAATGGACACAGGCCGCGGCGGCGTGGACAGCGAGCCCTGTTCAAAATAAACAAGATCCGCTGTTGGGCATTGTACCCATTCTTTCCGTACCCATTTCGTGCGTGCAGATCCATGACCTCATCGCAAGGCCCTCGAACGCCGCACGGATCCCAAAACCGTGAGTTCACCTCGAATCCCCACTGACTCACCGCACTGGCCCTCCTCCGGATGTTCAGTTTCGGGCCATAGCTCGGGACTCCGGCGGCGGTTCGGTACGATTTGGGCGCCCCCAGAAAGCTCTCGGCGAGGCGCAGCTGCTGGAACGCATCCCGAGGCAGGAAAACCAACAGGAACCGACGAACACGTCCGAAAACCCAGCATACCCACCGACTCTCCACACGGTGTGGCGACGGCCACCACGGGGAGGGGCGTGTCCTCCTAGCCGTCCTAAGCTGCCCCAGGATTCTCGTGACGGCGCCACCGCACGGCCAGGAGGACTCAAGGAGAGCCCCAGAGTACAAGACGGCTGAAGATAGCCCCAACTTGTGGTCAAGACGGCCGACGAAGATGCCAATATGTCGCCTGAAGAGGGCAACCACATTGCAAACCATAGTGCCTTCGACGAATGTTTGTCTGTCACACGTGTGCTACCAGAGTGTCCCAACATCGCTTCGGATCGTCCCCCAACGCCCCCGAAATTGCCCAACACGGCCCCCAGGTTGATCCAAAAGGGGCCAAGATCCCGCCGAACTCGCCCCGATCAAGGCTGCCCACATGAGCGACGAAAAGAAACGGGTCTCTTACGAGATGGCATAGCGACCTCGCGCGGCGGCTTATGCGGGCCGCCAGCGCGGCACGCTGCATTGGAAACGAGGTGCCTGCGCGCGACCTGACGCGGATAACTGGCACGCCGATGTCCGCGCAGACGACTCCGCTCTTCTGCGCCGCCCAAATCTTGCCCAAGATGGCCTGGAAGGGGCCCCCGAGAGGGCCCAGCACGCAGGCAAGGGGCCCCGAGACTGGCTGCAGCTCGGCCAGCGTCTGGCCAAGCCCGGGAGGAGGCAGGCAGAGGGCGCGGCTCCTCACATCCGCCGACCCCTGGGGGTCATGGCGTGTGAGATTGAAGGGGCCCTGGGACACACACACACACACACACACACACACACACACACACACACACACACACACACACACACACACACACACACACACACACACACACACACACACACACACACACACACACACACACACACACACACACACACACACACACACACACACACAGAGAGAGAGGAATTCCCCATATTTTCCTATATTTTCTGGGTCCTTGTCTTCCCTGATACTTCCCATATTTCCCAATATTTCTGGGGAATCGACGATTAATTGTGCCTGTGTGTCTTTTCCCCTCCTGAGAGATGCTTCCCCCTCCCCAGACCCCTCCCCATGGGAGCCCGGTCCGTCCGGTTTGGAGGAGGGGGGGGGCAAAGGTGTCGGCCGCACCCTTGGAGCCTCAGCGGGCCCCAAAGCGGGCCAAGAAGGCCTTCAAAGGCCCCCGGGACGGTCCAAGAGGGCTACGAGTCGCCGAAAGATCGCTCCAAGACGCCCATGATTGCCTCCAGACGGTCCCACAGGCCCCCAAGACGCCCCAAGAAGCCACCAAGAGGCGTCCCAAGAGGCCCTCCAGAAGCAAACATCATCCCACTCACTAAGGAAAACGTGTATTTCCAGCACGTTCGCCTCTTGGGCTTTCACGAGACCCACAACGGCCCAAGAAGCCTTTAAGATCGACCCAAGATAGCCCAAGAGGCCCTCAAGAGGGCTCCAAGACAGCCCAAGAGGGCCCCAAGACGGCCCCAGAAGCTCCCAAAACGACCCAGGAGGGCCCCAGGACGGCCCCAAGAGGAGGCCCACAAAGGGGGAACCCGAATGAACATTTCGAGCACTCGGCCCCGAAACAAAAACTGAGGAGGCGCCAAAAGGCTCCCAAGAGGCTCCCACGAGGCCCCCGAGAGGCCCAAAAGAGGCTCCTGGAGGCTTCAAAACGGCTCCCATGAGGCCTCAAAAGGGCTGCCGGGAGAGCCCAGAGAAGCCCCAAAGCAGAGCCGCGATCCGCCAACCGCCCCCGACGAAATCCCAAAAAGCTGAAACCCCAAGATTCCCCAGAAATTGCGCGCGTTCCGCAAACTCCGTTTTTCACTCTTACTGCCGCCCCAAGGGGTCGGCGGTGCGGCGCCAGCCAATGAATCACAACAGGGAGATGAGAGAGAGAGAGGAACAAAACGACATAACAGAGAGATAGAGAGAGAGAGAGAGAGAGAGAGAGACCGAGAGACAGAGAGAGAGAGAGAGAGAACGAACGAGAGAGAGAGAGAGAAATGGAGAGAGAGAGAGAGAGAGAATGAGAGAGAGAGACAGATACTTATATATGTCGAGAGAGAGAGAGAGAGAGAGAAAGAAAGAAAGAGAGAGAAAGAGAGAGAGAGAGAGTAAACGGGACCACCATACCGGCACGTACACATGTAATATGAATACAGCGGGAGGGCACGGAGAGAAGGAGGGGGACATAGTAGGAGAGACGGGGACAACCATAACGATACATTCACACATGCGATATAAAGAAAGAGGAAGGGAAACACGAGAGAGATAACCATATCGACATATGCATCTATGTACGCGTGAATCAAATAAGCCATGCAAACGTAAAACAATCATGGACTGAAAGAAAAGGGAAGACAGGCAAAGAGAGAGAGAGAGAGAGAGTGAGAAAGAGAGAGAGAGAGACAAAGGGACACCTAAACATAACTGACTTTACATATATATATATATATATATATACAGAGAGAGATGAGAGATGGAGGCCGTCAGCAAGAAAGAAGAGCAGACGCGACAGGTAGATGATCTGACAGAAGCGTGTTTGTGCCCCTTGTCCTCGGCACGGTCACACAATTCTTGTACGCATGGCACGCGGCAAGAAACTATCTCGTGTCGCATGCAAAGCGTGAAACAGCTTAGAAGGCATGGACAACAAGACCTAACACTGTGAGCCGCATCGGCTCTGTCAGGTTCCATGGAGGCGAACCTCGTGAGGGCACTCCATCCTGCAACCGACTGGTTAAACAGTTTGATCGGCGGGACAGGAGATTGGTATATGTATATATGTACGCATGAATCTAACAAACCATACATAAGTAAAGCAATAAGGGACTGAATTGAGAGAAAAGGGAACACCGAAAGAGAGAGAGAGAGAGAGAGAGATAGAGAGAGTGATAGAAGATACAAAGGGACACAGCAAGATAACTGAACTTACATACGTATATAAAAACACAGAGGCGGATGAGAGATGGAGGGCGTCAGCAAGAAAGAATAGCAGACGCGACAGATAGATGATCTGGCCGAAGCGCGGTTGTGCCCCTCGTCCTCGGCACGGTCACACACTTCTTCACGCATGGCACGTGGCCAGAAACTATCTCGTGTCGCATGCAAAGCGGGAATCAGCTTAGAAGGCATGGACAAAAAAAAGACCTAACACTGTGAGCCGCATCGGCTCCGTTAGGTTCCACGGAGGCGAACCTCGTGTGGGCACTCCATCCTGCAACCGACTGGTTAAACAGTTTGATCGGCGGGACACGCAATACCTGCGTGTGGAGCTAAATTCCCAAAGCAATGCTTGTACTTGGGTGTTCTTACTTGCGCTTCTCTCTGGGTAGTCGAAGCCAATCTGGCGCCACTCTGGCAGGCCCAATCTGGCAAACGGGGGCAATCTGGCGAGGGAGCCCACGCGAATCCAGTCTGGCGAATAACCCAATTCCTCCAATATGGCCATGCCAGATTGGCCCTTGGGGCCCAATCCAGTCTGACAGTCTGGCCTTCGACTACCCAGCCAAAGATTCGCCATGTTTCGGCCCGTTGCCTCCCGTTGCCTGCCGTTGCCGCCTGTGGGGGTATCCCGAGGAGGCGTACTTCGGCAAACGGCCGCAGCGACGCTAGCGTCACATTGCTAACACATCCACGATGGCACACATGACTGCTGTGGGTCCACGAGGGCAAACATGGAGAACGATTCGGACAAAAAAATACATGCAATGCTCAAAAAGTATGAAGATTAAGGCTGGATGCCAAACAGAACTTGTCGACAGAGCAGCACTTGTATTCATTGCCTCATGCTCCTGAGGAGGCCCAGGATGACGCTGGTCCTCCGAAGCGATTTCCGGATAGCAAGCTCAGAGATGGCGCAGGCGGCGCCGAATACTGCATACGTGGCGCAGCCGCCCCAACCGCCGGCATCACCTGCAAGAGTATGGCAAGACGTCGGAGTTTGGGGGTTGAGAAAGAAGTGACCCCATTCGAAAAATCAATTTCGGTTTATGTTCGTGTCGCGCGTGCGGGCGAGGCGAAGCTGCGAAAGGTCGGGGATGTTTCAGTGCAGCTAGGGCCATCTGTAATCAAAATTCTACTCTGGTTGCGCGGTGGCCCACTGTGATTGTTCCTTGATTATCCCGTTGTCCCTTGGTTATCCCGTCAATTTTTCCGCAATTGTCCCGTGGGTTGTCCTGTGGTTGCACGCTGATTGTCCCGCGATTTTTCCGTGGGTTGTCCCGTGGGTGTCCTGTGGGTCAGTGTCCCGCAAGTTTCCGGTAGTTGTCCTGTGATATGTCCCGTTGGTTGTCCCGTGGTTGTTCGGTAGTTGGCCCCCGGGTTGTTTCGCAGGTGTCCTGTGTGAAATACCAATCAAAATGAAACTGTAGATGCAGTCGAAATGCATATCGTAATGCAAATAAGCGTGCAACCAGCATGCACTTCGCAATGCAAGTCGAAACTACTATTGAACATATGTTCGAAAACAATATTGACATTAACATCGAGGCGAAAATCAAACTCAGCATGGCGAAATCCATCGACACGAAAACCGAATGCAACTCCGGGAGCGATGATTTGCCCAGCCTAGAATGCACACCCTGGAGTGATGACTTTCCTTCGCAACGGCCTGGAGCGAAAACCGAATGCACTTCTTGCTCCAGCTCCTCACGAGCCGACGTGCGAAACGTCGTCCGGCCCTTCGGGACTGTCCCCAAGGCATCCTGTGAGGTCGGCCGCGAGAGCCCAGACCTCCCCAACAAAACTCAGCACGGAGAGGCGTTTTCGTGATCTCTTCGACGTCATGGGGGCCCTCGCTGGGCAAAGGGACCGTCCTGGACGACGAGATGGTCCCCAGGAAGTGGTCCAGAGCTCCCAGGGCCCCCCCACACACATATAGATATATAATATCGGAGGTGAGGGGGTGAGATCGAAGTGGAACGGAGAGCCCCCCTACCGGGAAATCGATTTCGGTTTCGTGTTCATGCGTGCCGTGCGTGCGGGCGAGGCGAAGCTGCGTGGGCGGGCGAGAAGAAAGTCTCCTGTGGCTGAGGCGCGGCCGGACCAAATGTCTCCCTTCCGGGCGGCCGGGGCCCGCGGTGTCCCGCCGGTGTCCCGCTGGTGTCCCGTGTGGCTGAGGCGCGGCCGGACCAAATGTCTCCCTTCCGGGCGGCCGGGGGCCCGCGGTGTCCCGCCGGTGTCCCGCTGGTGTCCCGTGTGGCTGAGGCGCGGCCGGACCAAATGTCTCCCTTCCGGGCGGCCGGGGCCCCGCGGTGTCCCGCCGGTGTCCCGTCGGTGTCCCGTCGGTGATGATGATGATGATGATGACGATGATGATGTTGACAACGATGATGATGATGGTGATGATGATGGTGGTGATGATGGTGAGTTCGGTAGTGAGATCGATAGTGAGATCCGATAGTGAGAATGTGAGATCGATAGTGAGATCGAGTGATCGATAGTGAGATTAGTCGAATGTGAGATCGATATGAGATATCGATAGTGAGATCGATAGTGAGAGTGAGATCGATTGTCGATGAGATCGATCGAGTCGAGATCGATAGTGAGACCGAATGTGAGATCGATTGTGAGATCGATTGTGAGATCGATCGAATGAGATCGATAGTGATATCGGTAGTGAGATCGATCGTGAGACCGAATGTGAGATCGATCGTGAGATCGATAGCCAGATCGATTGTGAGATCTATTGTGAGATCGATTGTGATATCGATACTGAGATGCATCCTTGGTTTGTTAAGGTTTATAGTGTTTAGCTAAAGTTTAGCGGACTTATAAAGTTTATCAGCAGTTATCCAAAACAGAGTTATAAACTTTATAAACTTTAGCGTTCGCTTTAACAAGCCATAAAAATGCGATGCTATCAGAAGTTCTTGTGTTACTTCTCGCAGCAGCTTGCACTACGCAGGTTGCACCGCGTAGGATGCACCGCATACTACATAAGTTGTTGCACCGCTTAGCATGCGCCACATAGGTTGTACCATAGCACATAATACACCACATAGGTTGCATCCACATAGGTTACACCGCATACATAGGGGCGGGCGCGTAGCACCAGGTCCGCCGCCGAATGTCGTCTCTGCATCTCCATCTGTCGTCGTGGTCGTCGTCAGGGCCCCGCGGTTTCAGCATGCCGTTTGGAGGAGGAGGACAGCAGCAGCAGCATGCCGCTTTGGGGTGGAGGAGGAGGACAGCAGCAGCAGGCGCCTGCAGGAGGAGGATGCAGAAGGAGCAAGAAGGATGATGATGATGAGGAGGAGGAGCGGAGCAGAAGACCCACCACCCCTCATTTCTCATCTGCATTCAGCCGCAATGGCTTTAATGCGCAGACATCGTTTCTGGATGGGCTGTGCGGTGGGGCTACGCGAAGCGTATGCGATTTTTTCTCCTGAGCGCAAAGCGCCAGCAAATCCCATCATGAAAACTCCAATGGCAGGATAGTGCCGACGGTGCCGTCTGCGTACGCGCAGTGTTCTACTGCAGCCAAAATGGCTTTGGTCTCCCAACACTCCACTGGAGTCGCAGAAAGTTTCCACACTGCCTTTGCAGTACCAGGGATGCGCCGCGAAAGTTCCATAACCTCCATCATAGAAACAGCTTCTCCACTGACCTCGAAATGCAACTTCACGCGGGCGGCAAGTATGCCGTCGGAGCCGTTCAAAAGCACAACGTCCCCTTGCGCGCATAAGCCGAGCTGGCTAAAGCGAGAATCTTTACCCACATTCACTTGGATATCATCACCTTCCAAACCCAATGCGTCCAAGATCAGCTGCCTGCTCTTCTTGGGCGCCTTGCGGCCCTGCAACAAGCCGACGCCATAATTGAAACTGTGGCTCGTTATTGCTGACGGGTGATGGGCAACGCATTCGCTCAGCAACGACTTGCTGGCTGACCCAGAGATGTTCGCCAGTTCGGTGGCGTATCTCTTTGGCATTCTATGCTTCCTCTCAAGGACGAAGCAGTTCAAGAGCCTCCCGTTTCTTTCGAGTAGCTCAGGGAGGTGGAGAAGCCAATGGCATTTTGGTGTCAGGGACTCATATCCAAAAGCAGCAATGAAATATTCCAAGAACTTATGAACGCAACCTAGAAGCCTCGCTGGGCTCACGTCGATCCGACTGGTTGCAACTACCAGCTGCGACAGCTGAACGCAAGCTATCATAGCGTCGCAAGCTGCATTGGCTGCCCCCATAGGTCGCAGGACCGTCTGAGTGAATAGCATCAGAACGCCAAGAATAGACAATAAATCAGACGCCTGGCATTTTACGTGTTGGGCCTTTCTGTGCTTATCTTTCCGATCAGCATTGAAAATGCTGTCTAAATGCGTAGCGTGAAATCTTCCAGGGAACACCCAAGTTGCCAAGAACTCAGAGAATGACTCCCATACGCCATTAAGCCCAGCAGATATGAACTCTTCGAAAGTTAGGTAGATCACGAGATTCACAACACCGTCGACGAACAGCGCGTGCATGTAGTCATGCATAAACACCTCTGTTGGGTTGATCAGCCTGTCTAAGGCTCTATCGAGCAGCAAGCCTCGTTTGGCAAATGTTAAACCCAGCGCTTGCTGCAACAGAACGAACTCTTCATTAGACAGAGTCCGCGACATGCGCTCCAGATACCTGGCATTGGTGCGAAGCTCATGGTCAGTGGACGCCACGAGCTCATCGAGATGTATTTCGTTGCAACGCAGCATGGCTGAGCCATCTTCGTCAACAACCCTTGAGTCGGCTGTGAACATATTCTTACAAAGCATACAAAACTTGGACGCGCCGTCGCCCCTTGCTTGCCAAACAGCTTTATGAGCGCCCCCGTCTTGCAACACCACGCCGACTTTAGCAAACAGCCTGAAGCTATCCCCGTCTAAGTCAAGGGTCATTCCACCGTATTGGAAATGAAAGCCATCAGGCTTGAAAAAAACATTTAATAGCCTCAGCGAATGCTTGGCTTAACCCAGCAGAGAGGGAATTCACAGAACAGGAGAATTCAGTCATCAGCACAAACCAGCTCTCCTCGTGACTGAGCGCGCTCACGCCGAATTCCAAGAAGCTCCAATAAATAGATTGGAATTTTCGCTGGTTGGCTGGTGATAAGGGGTTCCCTGGTGCGACTTCGTCAGAATACAAAATCAAGTTCCATGGCTTTTCGGGCGTCGATGGGTGAAGCATCAGCTGGCGCTTCAAAAACTTCCGAAAATTCGCGCTCTCTTCGACAGCTGCCGCTAAGGATGCGAACGGGCAGGCGATGGGTATGCTAGCTGGTTCTTCCTCTGCATCAACGCACGTAAAGCTTTGTACTATAGGGCCGTACTGGCCGACAGTTGTGGTAACAGCACCCCTCGCGGCACGCATGGAATTCCGATCTATGACTTCTGGGAGCCCATTGTCCCTCACGTCCGCCAGAATTGCCGCTAAAGCAGAAGCCGTACAGTGAGGCTTGGAGCGACGGAACTCATTAAGCCTGCGCAGCTTAGCAGCCCGCGGCGGCTGCATCCGAAACTGCGGCAGACGCTGCAAAGCCCGAGGTCTGAGCGAAATGGGCTACGGACGGAGACGCCAGCACGCGCTCCAGAACGAGGGCGCGCAATCGACGAAGCGAGAAACATACATTCTTTCTTGACACGCCCCTCCAGACTGACAGCCCGTTCTCGAGAGCCAGGTGTTAGCCGAAACTTAGCACGCAGTGCTTGTATGTTCTGCGAAAAGCCTGGCTATATATATGATAGTGCAACAATTACAGTCTCAGGACTTCCCCCCAGCGTCGTCGATCGCCTTGACGGCTGCAGCCCACGCCTCAGCGGTCGGCTTAGGCCCCCCCCAGCCCTTGGAGCTCTCGGTGTAGTAGCCCGACCAGCCCATGAGGCTTTAGGCGCGTTCTGCGAGATACTCTGTTACCCTCGCCACCATTCCCGCTCGCTC